GGGCAGTTCTGTTTGTGACGATATATATGACGAAACAGTTTGTCACGGCCCCTCGTTTGTTGTCCTCTTCTCCCTCTCTGCCTACGGTTTACCGGGCAGTTCTATTTGACGATATATATATATATATATATGACGATATATATATATATATATATATATATATATATATTTTTAAGATCTCTTGTCGGCCACCTACAACTGCCATTTTGTCAAAATGGACATTTTTGTTTTTTGAACGAAATTGAAACTGAGTTTTTTCAACTTTTTTGGCCGAAAACTCGTCTAAATTTGCTGCTCCTGAGGGTCTGGCGTTTTTTAAACGTTGGACCCCCTGGATGTGTCAGGACTAAGCTTGAGACCATGTACATCCAGGGGGGACTGCATGGATGCATCTGGTCTCGAGCTAGGTCCAGATACATGCGGGGGGTCCAGCGTTTTAAAAACGCTGGACCTCAGGATCAGCCAATTTAGACGAGTTTTCGGCCAAAAAAGTCGGAAAAAGTCAGTTTCAATTTCGTTCAAAAAATAAAAAATGCCCATGTTGACGAAATGGTAGGTAACCTAGAGGGTGATAGCAGCACCTTCCCGATTGGAGCCTGCCATTGGATGGCTGTGGTCTAGCTTTCCCGGGGTGCCCGGCCGTTCTTTTTTTGTCTTTTTTTCGCTGCCAGACCGTGCTGCGTGTTCGGAGTAGTGCCCAAATCTGGCCTCTTTTTTTATTTTCATGCATGTCGATTTGTGTGTTGGGGGGTGGAGGAGGGTGTGCAGGAGGGGTCTGAATTGTCGACTGTCCGTTTGCAGGGTGTGGGGGTACAGCAGCTGCCGTGTCCCCCCTGTGGTGGAGCGCCACCTCAAAGGAAGGAGGGAGGAGGGAGGAGGGAGGACGAAGGAGCGCCAAGTCAGAGAGAGGAGGGAGAAGCGCCACATCAGAGGAGGGAGGGAGGACGGAGGAGCGCCACGTCAGAGGAGGGAGGGGTGAGGTGATGAAGGAGCGCCACGTCAGAGGAGGGAGGAGGGAGGTTAAGAAGAAGAAAAAGGGAGGAGCGCCACATCAGAGGAGGGAGGAGGGAGGTTAAGAAGAAGAAGAGAAAGAAACAAAGAAAGAGAAAAAGAAGAAAGAAGAAGGTTCTGAAGAAGAAGAAGAAGAAGAAGAAGAGATGACTGGATCAGTGCGCGCTGTCGAGCGATGCAGATCGGCGGCCAGAGTCCAAAAAAAGAAACCCTACAAAATGGGACCTACCGGACCCTCCCCAATTAAAATTGCGGACCGCCTAAAAAGAAGTTGGCAAGTTTGGAATAGGGCGGCGGCACGGGAAAAAAATTTGAGGCTTTTCTGCGTCGGTGCGAGAGGCGCCCGGGTTCCAGCAAGAACTTCGCGCAATTTGTTCGGAAGACAGAGAGCACTGCTCACACAAGCATGGCAAGGGTTCGAAATCTCGTTTTTCCACATGTTGAGACCATACTTGCAACCGTACCGTGCGCCGCACGGTCCGGTCCGCTGTACGGGGTCCGGGTCGGGACCTTCCCGTCTGGCCTACAGGCCCGTACCCCTACCGGACAGGGCCGCACCGAGCCGCACGCTGTCCGGTAGGGCCATCGCCCGTCCGGTGCGGTTTTGTCCGCGAACTGTGCGGGGAGGTCCAATCCCCCGTCCGGTCCTGTCCGGAATTTTTTTTTTTTTTTTTTTTTTTGAAAGCACTGTGAGGKGGGGATGATRTATAACGCACCTGGTAGTTGCTGTCGACGCAGAAACACTGCGTCATCATCGAACCTGCAAGCAGCAAACGAAACTGAACACAAAACAGAACAACAGTAAAGTGCAAACACGTGCAAACTTGCAAAGTAGCAAAGAGAAGAAAGCAGAAAAAGTGCAGTGTTGTCCATAAATATTGAAACCTCGAAGTTAATCAAATGAGCATCATGCTCATTTGGAGTCTAGAAGCGACACCATCCAAAAAGCACAACCAGTGTCACTCACCCAATCTACCCTTGTCCACCTCCATCGACAATTTTGTCACCAATTCCTCACTCCCCTGATCCTCGCCCCCTTCTTCTTCACTCCCAACATGGTCCTCACATTGATCTTCCCCACTTGCAGATTATGCAGAAGGTGAAGATGGCGACGACGATGATGATGAACAAGAGGACGATTCTTCACACTCGTCATCATCGAGGATCACCGCCGTCCGCTTCCCCCCATGTTTCGTTGCCTCCTTTGTGACCAGGCGGGAGGATGTCGGGGCATCCGGAGATGCAGCAGCCGCTCTCCTGGCAGCTTTCTTAGAAGCTCTCGCTGCTGCTCTCCTTGCTGCTTTCTTAGCAGCTTTCTCTGCCACTGCAGCCTTCTTCGCAGCCTTCTCCGCTTTTTTCCTCTCGGCCACTTCGACATTGGTGGGGCGTCCTCTCTTCTTCTTCTTCGGCGGCGAAAGCTGTTCTTCGGCCGGGCGCTTTTCCGCAGCACGGACTTCAGCAGCATGTTGTTGCTGCTGTCGTTTTGCTCCGCTGCTGCCCCCTGGGCATCTACCTTGCACCCAATTGCCTGTCTCTCGTGCCCGCAATGCGCGCTCTCGCTCCTCGACGTTGTACTCCACTAGGGGTCTAGTCGCTCGTGCTCTGATCTCCTCCTCAACAAGCGCTCTCTATGCCTCCCAGGTGCAGTGCAGAACTGCCACTCGTTCGTATAGTTCTCAATATGAGCGATGTCATCCTCTTCGTCCATCATGTCGTCAAGTCAGTCATTGCGCACCCATCTCCTTGCCAAAGGCAGATCACCTTCATCGTTTAGCTCTGCAATGACATCGCTATCACCCTCTGCGCCAGCCTCCGTATCCCCGGTGCTCGCCTTTACTTTCTGCACCCACTCGTTATAATAGCGCTCTGCTTCGCCTTGTTCTCTGCATCCGGTAATTCCTCCATCCACGGGATGTGGACATCGTCTTCGCCAGCCCCCTTCTCTTGTCTCCACTGCAGGTGGAGATTCCAATTATTGTACACAAGCTTGGCGAGACGGCCCGACAGCAACTTCGTTCTCCTCCTGCCGAAAATGAGTTTGTGCAAGCTCCAATTGCGCTCACAAGCAGCAGACGAGCTTGCCTGTCCTAACAGCTTGATCGCTTGGGGCTGCAGGAGGTTCAAGCGCGACCCGAACGAGTCCCACCACATGGACGGGGTCTTCAATCGCGCGCCATCCAATGCCTCTCTCGACCCCAATGCCCCCTTCATGCGAACCCAGTCATCCACTTGCCAACTGATGTCCTTCAAATCGTCCGACGAGGCCCATGTGTACAACCATATGTTGAACCCTGCCCGGATCTCTGTACCGTGGATCGCAAACTGTGCACGAAACTCCGGATCCAAGAACGTTGCTGCACAATGCAGTTCCGACGTCATGAATGCCCATGGATCCATGAGGATCGATTCCACTTCCGCTTTCCCAAAGTCCGTAAGGACTTCCAACGTCCTGATTCCCTCCACCACGGCGTCCATATGATGATTAACCTTGCTGATGGTGGCCCCTGGACCGTCCACCATCCCCAATAACTTCACAATAGTCTCCGTGGCTTTGACGGACTTCTCAACATCGTCCCAAAACCTCTCGTCAAGGATAGTGGCCGTGGCTTTCTCAAAGTTGGACCGCAGATCAGTCCGCACCATGCTAGACACCCAGCCCTTCGCACCTGCGACAAGTTTGAGGGCATTCTTTCGGTCCAAAAGGGACTGCAGCATGATAATATTCGTTGCGAATCTTGTCACTCCTTGCCTCTTTATTTGTGCCCCGCCAGAACGTTCAAGGAAGAATGCACGAACCTTGTCGTGGTTCATGATGAACTTCCCCAACTCGTTTGCTCTCTTGACCGTCCTGGAAAACCATCCAATGCGCTTGTCGAAGTCCTCCAATGCAAGGTCGAGGGAATGCGCTGTGCAACCAACCCTGAAGATCCAAGGGTACTTTTTTTCAACAAGCTTCCCCGCCTTGACGCAAACTCTAGCATTGTCCATGATCACCCCGATCACACTCTTGGGTCCAATGTCCTGGATCGCAGCATCCAGGATGTTGTAGTACGCTGTGGAGTCCTTCTCCTTCCCTTCTACACAAATGGACCTCCAAAAGACGGTCCCTATAGGGGAGGAGACCATCACATTGATGTGCGGTCTCCCTCGCCTATCGGACCACCCATCCATCTGCACCATACACCCTGTTCTCTCCCACTTCTTTGCAATCATCCGCACATCCTCGATGCACCTCTTGTTCTGGCCATCCAGTCTACCATTCCTTGCGGCCTCCCTGCTGTGCATCCGCCATGAGGGATGGGCATTCGGTATAGCATTTACCATGTCAAGGTAAATTTCATTCTCCACCATATTGAGAGGTTGGTTCGTGCAGGTCATCCAGTTGTCGACCTTCCTTGACGTCATCTCGTTCTTCGTGAAGATGCTGTCCGTCTCCTCCAACACCATTTGCTGCACAGATGAAGCGGATCGTCGCGTGTCGGATGCTGCACCCCCTTTTCCCATGCCCCTACCCACATTCTCCACAGCCGTTGGTGCAGTAGCCAAACTAGATCCACTAGGAAGACTGTTGTCGCCATTTGCCATCGCCACGTCAGCCAGAGCCTGTCTCAACCCCTGCTTCCTTGCTTCTTTTTCTTCATCTGTGAAAACCTTCCTGCTCTGCTCCGCCGCACAGGTTCCCTTTGAGTAATGTTCCTTGACATGGTTCAGGCTGCCCAAGAATTTCAAATCGCAGTACTTGCAGACCCAACATTTGCCACCCTTTTTGGATCTTTCCCTGCGACCCCATCCACGTTGCAATGCCGCTTTACCATAGCAGAAGTGTACTTGGTACTCGCCATTCTGACCCGCAGACGGGGGGAACCGTCGGACAGCAACCGGGAAATCAGCCTCATCCCACATCGTCTCAAAACTTGGCACCACCTCCTACCACGCTAGACCCCCTCCTACCACACTAACCTCCCTAAAACTCCATGAAATTAGCACTTCGGTGGCGGATGAAAGATGGACGGGGAGGGGTGGAGGAGGAGATACCAGTCAACTTGGAAGTTCACATCAGAAAACCTGGCGAGACCTTGGGATGGAGGAGGAGGAGGAGGAGGAGGAGATACCACGCCAGTTCAAGAGTTCGAAGTTCCCGTGAGAAACAAAATCGTCCGAGCCGTGAAAAGAAGGATGGAAGGTGGAGGAGGAGAGATGCAGAAATTGAGTAGGAAAGATGGAGGGGGATGAAGGAGGAGAGATGGAGAGATGGAGTAAAGGTGGACAAGGTGGAGTGGAGGACGAGGACGAGGAGAAAGGGTGGAGAAAAGATGGATGGGGAGGGGTGGAGGAGGAGATACCAGTTAAGTCGGAAGTTCACATCAGAAAAGATGGCGAGACCTTGACGACGACTAGGGATGGAGGAGGAGGAGGACGAAGAGGAGGAGGGGGAGGAGAAGGTGAGGTGGAGAGATCGAGAAGGAGGAGTAGGAGTAGGATATCTGAAGGAGGAGGAGGCACCATTGCAGTTCCAATGTTCCATGTTTCGATCCAAAAAAAAAACAAAAAAAACAAAAAAAAAAACAAGTGCTGAGGCCATGACAACAAAAAGAGGAGATGGAGGAGGAAGAGGAGGACATGGAGGATGAGAGATGAAGGGGGAGGAGGACAAGGAGGTCAGGAGGAGAAGGGATGGCGGAGGGGGAGGAGGAGGAGGAGGACAACAACACGATGAGGAGTAGTTACCATGCCAGTTCGGGACTTCAAAGTTCCTGTGACCGTAAAGGTTGACGAAGCCGTGAAAAAGAGGCTGAGAGGTGGAGGAGGAGAGATGGAGAATGGAGGACAGGAGATGGAGGAAGGGTGGAGGAAGAAAGATGGACGAAGAGGGATGAAAAAGAGACGGAGGAGGAGGAGGTAGGGAGGAGGAGAGATGGACAATGACGAGGAGCAAAGGAGGAGGACAATGAGATAAGGAGGAGATACCACGAAAGTTCGAACTTCGAAGTTGAAAGTTGCCATTAAAAAAAAGAAAAAAAAGTGACGAAGCTGTGACACGTGGCAGTCGGCATCACACCTTGCAGTCCGCATATGGGAGACAACGATATTCCAACCGTTATTCAAAGTTTAGTACTTTACTAAGTTTACGTAAGAAACGTTGACGAGACCTTGATGAGGAGGGAAACGTGGAGGAGGAGAGATGAACGAGGAGGACATATGAACGAGGAGTGGAGGAGTGGAGGAGGAGGAGTGCAGGAGGAGGAGGAGGAGGAGGAGGAGGAGGGGGAGGAAGATGTGGAGATGGAGAAAGATGTGGAGGAGGAGGAAGATGTGGAGGAGGAGGAGGAGGAGGAGGACAAGGTCAGGAGGAGAAGGGATGGCGGAGGGGGAGGAGGAGGAGGAGGACAACGACGCGATGAGGAGGAGATACCATGCCAGTTTGGGACTTCAAAGTTCCCATGACCGTAAAGGTTGACGAAGCCGTGAAAAAGAGGCTGAGAGGTGGAGGAGGAGAGATGGAGAATGGAGGACGGGAGATGGAGGAAGAGGTGGAGGAATGGAGAATGGAGGACGGGAGATGGAGGAAGAGGTGGAGGAAGAAAGATGACGGACAAAAGATGGACGACGAGGGATGAAAAAGAGACGGAGGAGAGGAGGTAGGGAGGAGGAGTGATGGACAACGACGAGGAGCAAAGGAGGAGGACGATGAGATAAGGAGGAGATACCACGAAAGTTCGAACTTAGAAGTTGAAAGTACACGTGGCAGTCCGCATAAAACCTTGCAGTCCGCATATGGAAGACGACGACATTCCAACGGTTATTCAAAGTTTAGTAGTTTACTAAGTTACTAAGTTTACTTAAGAGACGTTGACGAGACCTTGACGAGGAGGGAAATGTGGAGGAAGAGAGATGAACGAGGAGGACAGATGAACGAGGAGTGGAGGAGGAGGAGGAGGAGGATGTGGAGGAGGAGAAAGATGTGGAGGAGGAGGAGGAGGAGGAGGAAGAGGAGGAAGATGTGGAGGAGGAGGAAGATGTGGAGGAGGAGGAGGAGGAGGAGGAGGAGGAGGAGGTGAGTTCGAGGGAAGGCAGGAGGCCTGGTGAACACTCACCTTGGAGGGCGGTTGCAGGCGATGGTCGCTCCAGAGCTCGGCCTCAACAACAGTCGAACTTCCAAGCGCAAGGGGAGCTGAGCACTGCTCGTGGCGGGTGAGGCGAATGAATGGCACTTCGTAACGACGCGGATCGGAGGCGGCTCGAGGACAACGACAGAACAACCGCTGTTGACCTGCTCACACCGACAAACAGGCCCCCCCACCCAAAACCAAAATTCGAAATTGTTTCGAGCGCGGCCCGCAAAAAATTTCCCTCGGCCCCGAAACGATTTTTGCTGGGGGGGCGGCTGAGGGATGAATCGACAATAAGTTTTTCTTTTTAATGAGTTTTTTTTTTGGGCTCCGTGCGCCCCACAGGTCGTGCGTCGTACTGTCGGGGTGCGCTTGTGCGCCAGCCGTCCGTGAATCAGCGGACGACGTCCACTTGCATGTATGGTTAAGACTCACCACGCTATGGATGATATGGAAGCGTAGATCACTCCACTCTAGCGCCTCCAAACTTGCTCCTTTTTCTGAGACTGATAGGCTTCCCACCAGAAGATCTATGCTGCCCCAAGCATGGATGGACACGTGGACATTGATGAAATCATTGAGCACAAGCTTCTGCCTATGCCCAAGCCTCCCGGAAGGGGACGTCATCCAAAACTGCAGATGCAGTACAGAGTGCGGTTCAGACATCACCTCGATCCTAAAGAGGACCAATGGAGAAGAATTAATGAAGACAAGGGCCCTGCGCGGTCGGCTATATTTATTTGAAAGGTGAAACAATTTGTCACGACACTATAGCGATGGCTGGCCGTTAATGCACCAGTGTCTTCGGAAGTACTGGTGGTTTAATTTCAGGGGGGAATTGAAACTATTTTCAGTTATGGGAGCAACCTAATCAGCCAAATTGCAAATAACACTTCTGGCTTGGTAACTGAGTAGAGGTCACTGTTTTTTTTTTTTTTTTAGGTCACTGTTTTTTTGTTCAAAGTAAAAGATAAAGAGAATAGGTTGAACTCACACCGTACCCATGGCTCCACTCCATAAAACGAAAACATACAATACAAAATGAAAAACGAATGGTTATTTCAGATTGCTTATATGGACGCTGCAGAGCTTTGGCAATACGGATTTCAAGATGCAACCACTCCTATGATGCAAGGAATTATTGAGTGCGCCCAGGTCGCAGATCTCGATTGCAGGGCTGCTCCAACTCTGCCACACCATCTGAAGCTGGCCCAGGCCAAGGGTGTGAGCTACACATGCGTGGTATGCCCAATGATAGGTCGTGCCTGAAAGCAGCACCCGAAAGTCGAAGAATGACTTCGATGAAGCAGAAGGTAAGGTTAGGATAACGGACTTGATATGTGAAGCCGGTCCCATTCCGGCCCGTACGTTACTGTCCATGTCTCAAGCAGGCGGCGGGCGTATGCCGTCCGAAAAGGAAATGGTCGAAAAGGTGAAAAGCAAAGAAAAAGCCTTGTCAATGAATCCGTCTTAGCATGCTAGTGCTGAAGAAAATGCCGTGCCATGATGGGTTGGGTGTCTACTTTTATGAAATTTGTCACGCAGCGCATTCTGAAGGCAAGCCACCCAAAAGAAGCATGGTAAATAAATATGGTCTACAGTTTCAATGTGCTGAAATGGCCATGGACGGTGGTCTTATATAAACCTACAAATTTATTGAGAGCAACCAAAGTGCAATTTGGCGACCTTAGTACTGGGTTTGCTTGGCTGATGGCCCATCTGAGAACGTGTCACAGGACATGATTTGCGTAGCGCCAGACAACCAAAATGACAGCCCTGCCCCCCAAGTCATGAATACATCAGTCCCGGAGGACCAACCCTTCGTGCAACAAGCCCAACAAACCACGTCGGTGGCAATGGACCTCGAATCACCCCCGCCCGCGTCTCGACAGACGGAGAATCCGGTCCTGCCAGCCCCGCCCCTGTCGTCCGATGATGAGGTCATACAGAAGCTACAGTTTTTAACTGACTGGACCCTCACCAAAATTTTTTCACTCACAGACGACAGGCCAGAAGACAGGTTCAAGACGAGATATTGGGGGGAAGCAAAAACGGTGTTTATGTACAGTCCGAGGGTCCTTGCAACAGTGGAAAAATACTGTCAAGACAGTCACGACGATAGACTGGATGGAGGTGGGGGCAACAAATTCTTTGACAAAATAGACAGCTACGCCAGAAACTGTCACTCCCTTAATGGTGCTCCACTGGGAGGCCCACAGTCTGACCCCCACGATGAGGCATTCCTTCACGAGGGTCTGGCCTGACCCACGACCCTAGTGCATGAACTCTGCGAAACCTTGCACGCCCTACCGGGCATGAACCATCAGGGCCACTCTGCTCTACAAAATGGCCGAACCCCTCCGAGGGAGGACCATCCACAGGAGGGATCAGATTGCGAGATAATCCCTGTGCTCCCCCGTCAACTCGCCGTTGTGGAAATCAGCCATGACGACGACGACACCCCTACGTTGCTATCGGATGAAGACTACCGTCATGCATCTCCCCCAAAAAAACTGAGAGAAATGGTGAGACTCGAGGAAGATGACAGCGCCCCGGTGCCACCGGGAGTGATCATCTTCCCAATCACCAGGGTGGAAGAAGGAGGAGAGTGGGTGCTGGGCCTCAGACCCCCGCAGCAAGATACTCGTCATCACCACGTCAGGCCTAACGGCCTCACTGTGGATGGATGGAGGGGCAGCCCCTCTACAACGGCCATCCTTAAAAGGTTAAGGTTCTGGCTTAGTGAGACGGGCACAGTAGGGGTGTTGGGAGTGGTGCTCACTAATTCACTCACATTCCCTAAGGGGATCACCCCGATTCTCCTACTGATTGACCCCAAGGCCAGACTGCTCAAAACACGCAATGGCTTCACATGGTTTAACCACAAACAGCTCATGGACCTGACCAACCAATGAGACGACCCTCCCTTCGTACTCCCAATCACGACCGCAAACTGAGCATTGACTAAGCTGTGACGACAAAGCAAAGAAACAGCTCATTGACAACCAATAGACACAGCCCAACCCCAATAATGGCTGATCCTGATACACAACGTCAACTCAATGACCAACAACAAACAACTGACCCCTCACTGTGCCAGGCTCCTCCCATGACAACACCGGGACCACCACCCCCTGATCGATACCCCCCGGCCCCTCCACCATCACCATGTCCCCCTCCTCCTCCCCCCAGACCTCCCTCCCCCCCCGTGCTCCCCAAAATCAGAAACCCGCCACAATGGGCATCCAGACTGTCCCGTGCAGACATAGATATACGATCACTCAACGTTAATGGACTCGTACATGCGACACTGGAAAAAAAACAGGCCATATGGACAATGCTCAAATGCCCCGGTACCAACAATCGGTCGGACGCGGTGTGTGTCCAAGAAACGCACCTCCAAGACACCCCACCGCATGTGGAAAAAGGAAAAGTTATCTGGCCCTACACCTCCTATCAGGCACCTGCTACGGAAAGGGTGTCAGCTGGTGTGGCGATCTGGATCCCTCCTTCCTCGAGGCTCAGACCAATATCAACACAACACGACCACATACGGGGCAGGTGGGTATGTCTGAAGGTGGCATACGAGGAAGACGAGTTTTATCTCGTCAACGTCTATGCACCTAATGACCCCGTGCAAAGGGTGGATCTTTGACTCACCCTACTCCAACACCTCTCAGACGACGCCCCGATTATAATGGCGGGGGACTTCAACACAACCCTGGATCCGGTGATGGATCGAAGGTCAACATCACAACGACAGGATCCACAGGCTTCATCGCTGCCACAATTGGGCTTGGACATCCTCATGCTTAGGCAATTGATGGCGGATCGGGGCTTAGAAGATGCATACAAAATGCTAAACCCGGCCCAAAGGGCCTACACCTGCCTGTCCTCTAGGGGTGATCGTGGGGTAGCGAACTCACGCATTGATCTTTCACTTGTCTCCAAGGATCTACTTGGTCTGATTTCCACTGCTAAAATAACTGCTATCAGCCTGTGCAAGTCCTTTGACCACATAATGATCAGGTTGGGGCTATCTTTCCATACCCACATCAACAGGGATCAGGGTTCTACAAATTTAACACCTCATTGGTATCCTTACTGAAGATCAAGGACTTGGTCGGCGACTTCTGGTTTTACTGGCAAACCCGGAAACCGGAATCCGGGGATAGGGTGGCCTGGTTCAATGAAGGCATAGCCCAACTAAGGGAAAGAGTCAATAAATTCTTCATCCAGTATGCAACTTGAAGGGATCGTAAAGCCATTCTCGATAGACTCATGCAAGAGCTGGAAGAATGAGACAACACACAAATGGATAACCCATTACACCAACCCTCATTCCAGAAATTGCAAGAAGCTCGAGATCACCTCCAGGCCTACGTAGAAAGTCAAACACAGGCTTGGAGGATTCAGGCTAAAATCAGAAAGACCCACACCGATGGAACAATGGCGAAGTCCTTCTTCTGCAAGGCCAAAGCCAGAACCAGGGCTGCTACAATCCCCAGACTCAAACACCCCCTCCATGATGACATCCGGGTGGCCACTAAAGCATATGCAATAGCAGACTATGCATCCCAGTATTATCAACATCTGTTCACCTCCCGGACTCCCGAAAAAGATATGACCGAGGTGCTACGAGCAAGAGAGGACTTGCTACAAGCAGTCCAACCACACCTCATAACGGATCAAAGACAACTGTCGGAAGCCCCAATCTCCTCAGCTGAAGTATGAGAGATCCTGAAAGATATGGATGATGAACAAACGCTAGGTATCGATTCCTTCCCCAAAGAGATCTGGGTGCACTTTTGGGACCTGCTCCAGGACGACCTCATGAGCTACATTACGGCAATTCAGACAGAGGGCTCCTTTGGGGGGATGACCGGACAGGGAGTTACCACACTCCTCTATCAAAAGGGGACTAGGAGGATATAAGGAACTATAAACCCATCACCCTCCTCCCGGTCCCCTATAAAATGGTGGCTAAGGCACTGACCAACCGCTTGCTGTCCCTGATGAACATGTCAATTCATCCTGACCAGATTGGGTTTATGCCCAATCGCAACATCCAAGATAACATCCTCCTAGTCAACGAGACCATCAAATACGC